TGTCATGGCTCTTACTTCTTTAGGGTATATACCTAGTAATGGAATGGCTGGGTCAAATGGTATTTCTAATTCCAACTTTTGAAGGAATTGTCATACTGCTTTCCACAATGGTTGTACCATTTTACAGTCCACGTGTGATTTCTTGACTGTTGCTTCCATGGCCATCGATTGTGGATTCAAATAAAATGAAATTTCTGACAACCTCAATCTTTTCTCCATTTATTGTGATGTTGCTTATTAGTCTAGTTCTTTTTCTTACCCAAATGAAGAAACTGAAAGGATAAAGATATTCAACTTCTCTAGGAACAAAGCTATTCAAGTTTAAATGTTCCAAATCTTCCAAAATGTCCAGGGAAGATAGTTTACTGATGGTAACAAAATATTACTTACTGATTATTTTCAATAGATGATATTCTAAAGTATGAACATTTTATATCACCTATGGAGAATTAAATCTCCTACAGAGGAAAAAACAAAACGAACAAATGAACAAAAAAAACCATGTCTCTTGTATTAGGGCTTAAATTCCAAAGCACTTGGGTTGTAGAAGGCTGCAGTCTACAGTGAGAGCCCTAATCCCATTTCGAGTCTTGACGTAAGTCCAGACACCATTTGAGTTCCTTCTGATTATTAAACCGGCAGTGTGACTATGTATATACAAGTTCAATATGGACCTAGTGAGGGGTACTTTTGCTTTAGGAAATCAAACCCAAACCAAACTCACTGCCATGGAGTCAGATGTGACTCATAGCGACCCCTCCTTGGGTTTCTGAGGCAGTATTTCTACCAAAGTAGTTTGCCCCATCTTCCTTCCAAGGAGTGGCTGGTGGGTTTGAACTGCCAGCCTTCTGGTTAGCAGTCAAATGCCTTAGGCACTATGCCACCAGAGCTCCTTTCCTTTAAGAAGAGTGTGGTTAAAAGTCTATTATGTTCACACAGAGAAGTTGCTTGGGTGTGTCCTTATCTAATTTAAATTAAAGGTTGGGGTCCTGGTAATATCTTGTAGCCAGTCATTTTGTGGCTATAGACTCGGGCTGAATGGCCATGAGTTATACTCCGACCACTATGTAGCCAGATGTTCAAGCCCCAGACCCAATCCTGTAACCCTTTTTAATCTTCAATTATGTACATATCCTACATCATGGTCCTTTCCTGGCTTCTGCAGCCCCGCCTGCAACAGTTGACCTGCCACCAATCATGATTTCTTTTGTACTCTATCAAATATAATGAACACCATCACTGTTATTCAGTGGACTCCATTCAGCTTCTGTACTGTGTACATGCTGATGGTTTCCCCATGCTGGATGATTGTCTTTGTTTTATCTTTGTCCTAAGACTTAATTAAAACATGTTTAATCTAGGAGCTTTTTGAGTCTAGGAACTCTGGTGGCCTAATGCTTAAGGCACTTGACTGCTAACCAGAAGGCTGGCTGTTCAATCCCACCAGCCACTCCTCAGAAGGAAGATTGGGCAATTGACTTCAGTAGAGATACTGCCTCAGAAACCCAAGAAGGGGTCGCCATGAGTCAGAAGCAACTGGGGGACAATGAGTGAGTTTGGTGGGTTTTTTTTTTTTCGGTTTTTACACTCTGTATTAAAATTTGATCACCAGGCAAATTTGGATTTTTGCTAATTGAGTCCTGTACTGCTCTCCTCATATTAAAGATTATTAAAACAAAAAAGTTTGGGGTGGTGATACTGACTTATTTCCTCTATTAATGTCTCCTCAACTGGGCTATTGATATGTGATTACAACTTGAAAAACAGAATGATTGGCACTGCTGACCTTGAGTTTTAGTGCTGTCCTCTTGGAAATGGACCCTTGCTTTGACCCAGGGCTAATCACTGAAACATTCAGGTTCCCTTGCAAAATAGGAATCCCAAGAGCTGCTTTTGTCAAGATCAGAACTAAAAGAGACTCAGTACTCAAACACAATTCCTGGCACAGGATATTAATTTAACAATTTGATACACGTATTTCCTCAAAGAATTCTGCAAATGTTCCAACTAATGCTAAACGTTCATCTAGCCCCCAAATAGGCCAGTAATTTAGCAAAAGAAGAAGGCACTCTGCCTGCCTTGCCCTGGGACCGCTGCCCTGTGTCGCAGTTTGGGGTGGCTCGGCCGCCGAGCCGAAACCGACGGTCATTATGCTCCTCGCGGCTTCGGGACCGGATGCAGGACCTTGTCGAGGCATCTCGCCCAGACTTCGCCTTCCAGGGAAAGGAGATGGGCGGGAGCCTGGTGAAGGCAACGCGGTACAGCGGTTCGAGTCACTACAAACGGGGCCCCTGTGCAAACTGTTTTCGTATATTACTTGTAAGAGTGGGGGTGGGGAAGTGTTGAGGAAAAGGAAGGTAAGAACAAAATGGCGGCGCTGCCGTGCGTCTCTTGGTGGGATAGCCCAGGCCGGACTTCAGGAACTGGAAACAGACCCCCAAGCGTGCCAGTGCGAAAGTAGGCCGGGTCTCTAACCCGGAAGTGCTTGTGCATTTTGCCTGGCCTATGGCCAGGCTGCCTCCGCGGTTTCGGGGCGGATCGTGAGCAGAGGGAGTGAGTTCACGGCACCACTTCTTGGGAGGGTGGGACAGTTTTTAGGGCGGCGATCCCATGGGAGGTAGGTAGGGAGGACGGAGCGCCTTTGAATCCTGGACCTTGCCCTGACTAGAGAGGCGTGTGATTTCACAGGGGGAGAAGAGAGTTTTCCCAGTCTTGCAGTGGAAGGGCAGGATGGATGGGCTCCTAACCCCCAGGGAATCCGCAAAATTCATTGCAGAAAACAGTCAGGATGTGTTCATCGACGGCGCAGGCGTGCAGCGTGTGGCTGAACTTCTGCTAGCGAAGATCTCTGGGCCTGAACTGCATGTGGGAGGGTGGAAGACCCTTCACGAGCTGAACCCCAAGGCGGCCGATGAGGCTGCGGTCAACTGGGTATTCGTAACAGACACGCTCAATTTCTCCTTTTGGACGGAGCACGAAGAGCACAAGTGTCTGGTGGGATACAAGGGGAAAACGTACAGCGGCTACTGGTCTCTCTGCGCCGCAGTCAACCGGGCCCTCGACGAAGGTTGGTGCAGCATCTCCCCGTGGAAAGTTTCGATTTCCTGGGGTCTCAAGTAGAGTTGGGGGGTGGAATACTGTAGTATGTTAATAAGGCAAACCTGAAGTTGTTCATTGCCAGCACCTCGGCTTAAAAGTACCAGAAGAGATTGACAGTACATCCTTAGTGGAAATGATCCTGATATTTACCATTATGCATAAGCATAAAAATCAGCTTTATAAAGAATGCCACTTTGATGACACCTGAAGAACAAAGAGCTAGATATAAAGATATTTCACGCAGTGCGAATACATCTGATGTAATATTACAACTGTTCAGTACAGACAAGTAAATAGAAAATGAAGGTGTGCTTCTGGTTTTTTATTGTTTTTCATCCACTTTCGGTGCATTCCTATAACACTCTTAAGTGGTTTCATATTAATTGTGTATTGTAAAGGCACGGGCTTAATGAATATACATGTATGACGTTGTTCCTTTGAAAAAAAATTTTTTTTTCTTTAAAGGCATACCAGTAACTAGTGCCTCCTACTATGCCACAGTGACCCTGCAGCAGGTTCAGCATATATTCCGTTCTGACACGGACGTTCCCATGCCTTTGTTAGAAGAAAGGCATCGGATTCTTAATGAAACCGGGAAAATTCTGCTTGAGAAGTATGAAGGCTCATTTCTTAATTGTGTCCAAAAAAGTGAAAAAAGTGCACAAAAGTTAATGCACCTAGTAGTTGAAAGTTTTCCTTCTTACAGAGATGTGACTCAGTTTGAGGTGAGTTGCTTCTATCGAGGATTTTAGAATTCTTAATGATCCTTACGGAGTTAACTCTTTTTCCTTCCAGAGTTCCTTTTGAGAATACAAACTAAAAATTTGAAGTTCGTTGCCTGTGGACAAGAAATAGCAACAACATTATTAAGTAGTGTTTCAAAGATTTCTTTTGATTTCTAATCTGTATATTTGTTTTATTCTTTTAAAATGTTTCAAACCTGTCCCTCAGTGTAATATTGTCACTTGTGGAAAATGAATACTTCTAGGAGCTAGCTCTGGTGGCTTACTGGTTAAAGCATTTGGCTGCTAACCAAAAGGTTGGTGGTTCAAACACACCATCTGCTTTGTAGGAGAAAGATGAGGCAGTCTACTTCCTAAAGATTTACAGTTTTGGGAACTCTATGGGCATTTATACTCTGTCTTAAAAAGAGTTGGTGTGAGTCAGAACCAACTTGATGGCAGTGGGTTTGGTTTTGGATTAGTACTTTCAGTACTTCAAAAAATTTACTTCATTGGATGAAAATCAGAATGCGTATTAAATTCTACTGTAATAAAATTTTTGCAAAGTTCTAATTTATGTATCATGGAGCTCTGGTGGTGCAGTGGTTAAAGCATTTGGCTGCTAACCAAAAGGTCAGCAGTTCGAACCCATGCTCCATGGGAGAAAGATGAGGCAGTTAGCTTCTTTAAGGGTTTACAGCCTTGGAAACCTTATGGGACAATTCTACTCTCTCACTATGAGTCAGAATTGACTATAGTGGGTTTGGTTTCAGGTTTAATGTATGTTGTTGTTGTTGTTATATGCCATCGAGTTGGCCCTAACTCATAAAGACCCTTCCTTGGGTTTCCAACGCAGTATCACTAGGGAAGTAGGTTGCCCACCCTGCCTTCCGAGAAGTGGCTGGTGGGTTTGAACTGCCAGCCTTCTGGTTAGCAGTCAAGTGCTTTAGGCACTATGCTACCAGAGCTCTCCCATATTATCTTACGAACTATTTGTATCAAGCCTTTTCTTGAGGAATTTAATGCTTTATTTAATTATTTATGTCATTTACTTATTAAAACGCTCTCCAAGATGATCAGGATATCTTTTGGGAGCCAGTAGTAATTGATTATTCCTATTTAGCAGACAAGCAGTTATGTAAAGAAGATGTGAGTTTTTGCCATTGGTATTTGGACTAGAAGTAAATTGTAATGATCTGTCTTAAATGATAACGTACCATTTTATAATGCTTGGTTAAATTTGTTTCTTACATGTATAAATATACTTGGTTGAGTTGTTTTGATATAGGGACTTGAATTTTGACTTTGACCATTTGCAAACATGGTGGTGTTATTAGGTGCTGTTGTGTCAGTTTCGACTTTTAATAACCCTGTGTACAACAGAATGAAACACTGCCTGGCCTGTGCCATCCTCACAGTCATTGCCATGTTTCACCCCGTTGTTGTGGTCACTATATCAGTCCATCTTGTTGAAATCTTCCTCTTTTTCTCTGACCCTCTATTTTACCAAGCATGATGTCCTTCAGGGACTAGTCCCTCCTAATAACATGTCTGAAATACATGAGATGAAGTCTTACTATTCTCCTTTTTAAGAGCATTCTGGCTGTACTTCTTCCAAGACAATTTTGTTGGTTCTTCTGGCAGTCCCTGATATAGTCAGTATTCTTCCCCAACACTGTAATTCAAAGGCTGCAATTCTTCTTTGGTTTTCCTTATTCATTGTCCAGCTTTCAAATAAATGTGTGACTATTGAAAATACTGTGGTTTGGGTCAAGCTTACCTTTGGTAGAATAGATCAATTCTGGTTGTTCATCAATTATATTTTTATCACTGACGTAAATATTGTTGTTTGTTGTTGTTATGTGCCGTTGAATTGGACCCGATTCATAGCGACCCCTCCTTGAGTTTCTAAGGTGGTATCATTATGGAAGTAGATTGCCCCATCTTCCTTCGGAGGAATGGCTGGTGGGTTTGAACCGCCAGCCTTCTGGTTAGCAGTCAAGTGCCTTAGGCACTATGCCGCTAGAGTTAATCATATTATATGAAAATGAACAGTTAAAAAATTAATGAATGTTGTGATTACCTCCAGAAGTGAGCTTAGGGGTGATTACTTCTTTATGCTTTTCTCTATTTTATTCAATTAAGTATATGTGTATATTAAATGTAAGACACTTTCAAAAAGACTAGCCTTTAGAAATTCTAAGCTATCAGATAATGGTGGCACACAGAAATATATAGTGAAGTAATGCCATTGAAAAAGAACAGGAAATACTGCTATGATTTCATAAGTTCTGTTTTATATGCCATGAAAAAATAAGATGTAAATTTGTAGTAATGTAGGAAATACAATGTTTATTAGATTTTTTTTCTGTAAAAGGTCTATAAATTCTTATCAACAAAGTAAATATTATTCTATTCTTGAAAAATGTTTGCAACATGTGCCTTTTTTTTTTTTTTTTTACAACTATAAAGCTTTCAGATACATGCATAACATTTATATTCTCTTCATTCATCAGGGGAAAAGGGTTTCTTTTTATAAACGGGCCCAGATCCTTGTGGCAGATACATGGAGTGTATTAGAAGGAAAAGGAGATGGCTGCTTTAAGGACATCTCCAGTATCACCATGTTTGCTGACTACAGACTACCTCAGGTTCTTGTTCATCTTGGGGCCCTGAGATATTCTAATGAACTACTAAAGAAGCTTCTTAAAGGTTTGCAACTTTAATTAAATAATTCTTTGTTACACTATCAATTGTGCTATTTGGTCCTAATTTCAGAGTCTAATAAGGAAGTGAAACCAAAATTTATATTAAATGAAGGTGTGTAACACTGTGACAGTTCATCTGGTTTAATATTTGAAGAGTGTTAAGGCGAAGAGCACACTCACTACATCGTGATATTGAAGGTAGACTGAGAGATAGGTAATTTGTAGTGAATTTGGAGTAGGAGGATCCAAAGTGTGTCACTGGGTTACTTTATACAAGTCAATCACTTCTCTAGGTTTATTTATTCACCGTTATTGGATTAGATTACTGATTCTCAAGAGTAGTAGTGCCTAAGACACTTGACTGCTAACCAGAAGGCTGGCAGTTCAAACCCACCAGCCACTCCTCGGAAGGAAGATTGGGCAACCTACTTCCATAGTGATACTGCCTCGGAAACCCAAGGAGGGGCCGCTATGAGTCAGATCTGACTCCACGGCAGTGAGTTTGGTTTGGTTTAGTTTTTGTCTCAGGAGGGGGAGCCTTACTATAATATGCAAATACAGCTACATCGGGTTGATGAGAGTTTGTGAAAATTAGCTTTTTGTTTTTTAAGCATGTCTTTGTATAGTATGACAGTTAATATGACATGTTAATCTCTTTTCAATTGGGCACAATATTTTCTGCTGTTTCTTCTTTATTTTTTTTGAAAAGTAGTTTTATAATTGAATTATTTTCTTTTGTAGAATAGACTTAAATCCCTAACAGTGGAAATACTGCAGAATATAAAGGTGCCATTATTTTGCACAACAATCAGGTTTTCATGCCACCTCGGGCAATGTTTTCCTGTGTTTCCTCATTTGAAAAAGAATATACAACTTTATGTAGTAATGCTCATGTCCTGGGTCATTAGTGGTTGGATACCTTTAAAAGGGACATTCAGCTGCCTTGACTTCTTTTATATATAGCTATATTTTGTTGATCTTTTTTTTTCTGGCTCTCCTGTGCACTCCTTATTCCTATCTTTAAGCATTCTCTTGTATGGTTTCCCTCAACTAAATGTTCTTTTTTCAATTCAAATTCTATATATTTTCAGAGACTTAACTCTTTCCATATAGCTTTTCCTGGCTTCTCAATTTTTATAGTACTTAAATGTCTCTGCTACTATGAAAGAACTGTTGTTGTTGTTATGTGCCATCGAGTCGGACCCGACTCATAGCGACCCCTCCTTGGGTTTCCGAGGCAGTATCACTACGGAAGTAGATTGCCCCATCTTCCTTCCGAGGAGTGGCTGGTGGGTTTGAACCGCCAGCCTTCTGGTTAGCAGTCAAGTGCCTTAGCCACTATGCTACCAGAACTGAGAAGAGATTATCCAGCATAGCTGTACAGAGCCATCTGAATTTTTTTCTCCCATCCATATAATTTCCAGAGGCTTTTTCCAGATGTCCAGCTGTAGTTGCTGCCTCCAGTGTGCCTAGCTTCTCAAAGGATACTTTGGTATCTTTAGGTAGATAACTGCTGTCAAGTGATCCCAGCTCATGGTGGCCTTATGTACAACAGAATGAAACACTGCCTGGTCCTGTATCATCCTCAGTATTCATGGGCAAGCTTCAGTCCATTCTTGTGGCTGTTGTGCCAGTTCGTTTCATTTAGGTCCACTTTGCCCCTGTGGGCCCTTTACTTCACCAGTTTGTCCTTCTCTATCAATTGATCGCTCCTGATCACATGTCCAAAGCAAGCAAGTCAGATAATGTTCTGTTTTAATCCTTAAGTTTTTCCTTGCTGCTGCTGCTCTTTTTTTTTTTGGCCCTGGAAGGACTTCTCCAAGTAAATGACATTTTAGTTATATTGTTTCCCCCTTCACCCAAGTTAATATGTATCTACCCTCTAGTTAGTGGTTTACCCTCCCTTCCCCACTCAGCCCTGGTAACATCAAAGAATATTAGTGAAACACTTTTCTTGATTTTTCGCAATAGTGGTCTTATCTCTTGTTTGTCCTTTTGTGATTCACAAATTTCACTCAGCATAATGACCTCTAAGTTCATCCAGGTAATGAGGTGTTTTGCAGATTCATCATTGTTCTTTAATGTTGTGTAGTATTCCATTGTGTGTATGTACCATAGTTTGTTGATCCATTCTTCCATTGGTGGGCATTTAGGTTGTTTCCATCTTTTTGCTATTGTGAATAGTGCTGTGATGAACATAGGTGTGCATATATGTGTTTGTGTCATGGCTCGTATTTCTCTAGGATTTATACCTCCTAGTGGGATTGCTGGATCATATAGTATTTCTGTTTCCAGCTTTTTAAGCCAAATCAGCCTTGGTAAGTGAGAGTCCATGTTGCTGAGCACATGCATAACCTCCATCGCTGCCACCGTGCCCACTTTGCTCGTGAGCCCATTGAGCAATGACAGGAGTAACTGGGAAAAATAATGCCTGGTTTCCACTGAACATTCATCCTATCCACCTGATTGTTAAAGTCCTCCTCTGCCAAGGTCACCTTTTGGTGGGCATTCACATGAGATACAAATATCTTTACTCCTTTTGGCCCAGTCACAGAGATCTATCCACATACCTCTTCCCCATACATCCTTATCACCAGTTTCCCAATCATGCTCCTTCCAAGACCCAGACCATCCAGCCAAGCCATTAGCCCCAGCCCATGAATCCATATATAATCGCACATCTGGCCATTTCTTATTCCATGCAGAGTGAACAGCTATATGCACAGCTTGAAGTTCTGCCCATTGGGGGGACTTCCCTTCACTACTGCCCCTCAAGGAAGTCCCAGAAAGAGGCTGCAGTGCTGCTGCTGTCCACTTTCAAGTGGTGCCTGCATATTGCGCAGAACTATCTGTAAACCAGTGCTTGAACAATTTCTCTCAGAAAGATCAGCACAAGGTCGGTCCCCATGAGGCGGAGGTTAAAGATGTCCCAAATGTCCAAACTACCGTGCCACTCCATCATTTCAGACATTAACTTCTCCTCCTCCTCCTCCTAATAATTTCCCCAGTCTTAGGGTTCTGTATTTCGCTGTAATGCCTCACAGAACTCACAGACACCCAAGGGTTCGTCTCACATAGTAGTGGTGGAAGCTGGCAGGCTGGCGAGTCCCAGGTCCATGAGTAGGTCTGGCGGATCCCCAGTTCTCGGGGTTTGATGAACCGTGATCAGCAGATCAGATGACGGCTGCTGTCCCAAATCCAGGGTTGAGATGAGGAGCCAAAACACAGAACAGGAGCAAGAAGAGGGCGAATCTTCCCAGGAGATTCGTAGGTATACCCTCAGGGAAGCTAGGTGTGGTGATTTGAAGTATACCCTCCAGCAAGGCAGGATTCAAGATACATTCCACCTGTGTTGCCCCAACAGCGATAACCTAAATCCCATTACAGAGTTGATTGCCAGTCATTATAAGAAATGACTACTACCAGCAGCCCAGCCAAGTTGATACCTGACCTTAACGACCACACCACCCCAAACAGGCATGGATAATGGGATTTACAAAACATCACAGAATGGAGGACAATGGCTAGAAGGGCCACCTCAAGCAATTTACCACACGAGTTTTCTCTTCTTCACTCAGCTGATCATAAGGAACTCCCCATGAGGCCATAGGTGCAGCCTGGGAGAAGGAAGGTAATGTGACTGGAGTGGAGACCATAGGCATTTGGGCCACTTCCTCATGCAGCTTACTTGTGCCTTCAGGTCCTGCTCAAGCCCTATCTCTGATATACCACTTCCATTTAATGATGGAGTGCTGCTGTGCACGTCCAACTTTATGACTCTGTGGGTCAGACAACACCCAGCTCATGATGGGCAGCTCAGGCCTCATGGTGACTTGGTGGCCCATGGTTAGGCGTTCAGTCTCTACTAAAGCCCAATAACAAGCTAAAAGCTGTTTCTCAAAAGGAGAGTAGTTAACTGTAGAGAATGACAGGCCTTTGCTCCAAAATCCCAAGGGTCTGCATTGCGATTCACCAATAGGGACCTGCCAAAGACTCCAAACAGCATCTCTATCTACTAGAGACACTCCAAGCACCATTGGATCAGCTGGATCATATGGCCCAAGTGACAGAGCAGCCTGCACAGCAGCCTGAACCTGTTGCAGGGCCTTCTGTTGTTCTGGACCCCACTCGAAACTAGCAGCTTTCTGAGTAATTTGATAAATAGGCCACAGCAACACACCCAAATGAGGGATATGTTGCCTCCAAAATCCAAAGAGGCCCACCAGATGTTGTGCCTCCTTTTTAGTTGTGGGGGAAGCCAGATACAATAACTTATCCTTCACTTTAGTGGGAATATCTCGACATGCCCCACACGATTGGACCCCCAGAAATTTCACTGAGGTAGAAGGTGCCTGAATTTTTGTTGGGTTAGTTTCCCAACCTCTAGCATGCATATGTTTTACCAATAAGTCTAGAGTCATTGATACTTCTTCTTTACTAGGTCCAATCAGCATAATGTCATCAATATAATGGACCAGTATGATGTCTTGTGGAAGGGAAAGGCGTGGCCAGTGGGATTATAAATTAATACATTAATTGTATTAATGCCTGAGTTTAGAAGTGGTTTAAGTTACTGAAAATAAAACAGTCTGAGATGTTGCTTGAACGGCGAGGACGCCACATGTTCTGACCTCCTCTAACCCTACAAGGGGAAGGCAGGGTTACCAGCAGTAACCCAAGGCCTATTACTGCCAGGCCAGACATGCTGCCTCCCTCCAGCCCTTGCTCCAACCATTCCTCCCAAAGCACCCACCACATCTCTCCTGGGTTCGATAATTCACTGCAGTGGCCACATAGAGCTCATAGATTACGGGGTTTATTAGGGAAGCACCAGGCTACAACTCAAGTTCAAGAAAAATGCTCAGTCTCTCTCCCGGCCCACCGTCCCTCGGCCAACAGTCTCTCACAGTCTCTTTCCCAGCAGCACTGGTCCCTCGGTGTCTCACTCAGCAATGCGTGTCTCTTGCGTCTCTTTCCCAGCAACTCGTGTCTCTTTCAGGGGCGCGTGTCTCTTTTGGCAGCATGTCTTCCTCAACCAGCAGTCAAAGGGAGTTCTGCCTCCAGGAGGCCTCCTTTTGAGCCCGGAAGGGTGGTCAAACTAGCCAAACACAGCATCAGAACTCTAAGCACGTGAGAGAGAGTGGGCACCTCCCAGAACATTGTATTGTGCCACGCCCAACAGAAATACTCCACGTGGATAGCTTCAACAATCAGGAGCTCCTCAGTTGCTCATAGAAAATCCCATCTTGGAGTTTACAAAGTCTTATGGGTAGAAAAGCCACACTAAGTAATTTACTACACTGCAGATGTCTAGTTTTAAAATTATATTTCTTACTCTCTTTTTTTTTTCTCCTTGCAGGAGAAATGCTGTCATACGGGGATAAGCAGGAGGTAGAAATCAGAGGGTGCTCAGTTTGGTGTGTTGAGCTCATCCGAGATCGTCTTCTAGAGCTTATTGAAAAAAAGGGTGAAAAAACTAATGGCGAGATCAATTCCATTCTTCTGGATTATTATTTATGGGACTACGCCCGTGATCACAGAGCTGACATGAAAGGAATTCCATTTCATCACACCCGTTGCATGTATTATTGACCTGAAGTGTAAACTGATCCAAACATACCCCCCTGCATTTCTCTATCATATACCATTTATACAGTTTTAGTTTGGAACTTTATTAGGAGAGGATGGCACAGATTACAGGAACAAGAAAATTGATGATCTAGTCCCTACTTCGTATTTTTTACTGACATGTCACTGTATATTCCTAACTTTATCCTTGGTTTGCTTATTTAGTTTTGAGTATATTTACCTGTTCTCTGGACACTTAATTGATACAAATAATGAAGGAATTGTAGTGCTTTCACTTTTAAATCTCAGTTTTCTTAAAAATTAATCATACCTTATAAATCTGATCAATCTTCAGTGAGGATGTTTTAACCATCCAATTGACATCTTTTCTCAAAGTGTAGTATTATTTATATACTTTGATCATTTGATAATAAGCAAAAAAGAGAGGGTAGGATCTGATGTATTAATGCCATTGCTCTTGTAAAATTAATCTTGATAATTTGTAAAATCAGTCTTGAGATTTTATTTTAATTTTTTTTAATTGGTAATGATACTGGGTTTTATATATGATGATTTTTAATTTTTCTTTATTTTTGGAGTGTGGTTTGGGTAAAAAGTTACACAGAAAATTAGTTTCCCAGTCAACAATTCATACACATTTTGTTTCCTGACACTAGTTGCCATCCCCTCAATACAACAGCACTCTTCCCACTTCCTCTTTGGGTTCCATGTTTCCATCTACCCATCTTTCCTGCCCCTTTTGCATTCTGAACTTTGTTTTTGGACAAATGCTGCCCTTTTGGTCTCTTGTGGTTGATTGTTCTGAGGAGCATGTGCCTGGCGTGTGTTATTGTTTGGCTGAAAGGCGATCTGTGGGAGTGGGTTCAGTTTCAGGTTTGAAGGGTGGCTAAGGGTCACAGTCTTAGGGGTTCCACCAGTCTATCAGACCATTAAGGCTGGTCTTGTTTTATTTTGATTTTTGTTTTATGTTTTTCTCCCATACTGTCCAGGATCCTGATCAGATGGTGGTAGCCGGCCACCATCTGATTCTGGTCTCAGGCTGGTGGAGGGTGTGATTCACATGGTCTGTTAGTCTTTTGGACTAATTGTTTCCTTGAGTCTTTGAGTTTCTTCACTTTTATTTGCTTCAGACAGGAAGAAAACAAAAGTTGTATCTTGGATGGCTGCTTGCAAGCTTTTAAGACCCCATCATTATTCACCAAAGAAGCTTGTACAACAATTGTCTTTATGCCAATTGACTTAGATGTTCCCCAAAACTATAGTCCTAAGTCCTCAAGCCCAGTAACTCAGTCCCTCAAGGTGGTTGGTTATGGCTAAGAAGGTTTCATAACTTTGTCTCCTGTATTCTTTACTCTATACCTAGATACGTTCATAGCACATACAAATATGTATATAGAAATACTCTCTGCCAAATCTATGTATGCTCGTGTGTACTCCCATATGCCATCCCATACCTGCTCAGCCTACACAGCTACTTGTGTATCCATTTGTAAATTACTGTTTCTTACTATTATTATTGCAGGATTGTAATAACATTCCTCCCTTCCCCCCATCCCTGGTAATTATCAAAGAATGTTTCTTTCTGTGCATAAACTTTTTCTTGGCTTATTAAAATAGTGTTTCCATAAATATTTTTGTTAATTGACTTATTTCACTTGGCATAAAGCCTTCCAGATTCATCCACATTGTGAGAAGTTTTGTGGATTCATCATTCTTTAGTGTTCTGTAGTATTCCATTGTGTTTATGTACTATAGCTTGTTTATCCATTCATCATTTGATGGACACTTACGTTGTTTCCATCTGTTTGCTATTGTGAATAGTGTTGCTATGAACATGGATGCGCATATATCTGTTTGTAGCGTGGCTTTTATTTCTCATGGATATTTACTTAGTAGTGGGATTGCTGGATAATATGGTATCTCTATTTCCAACTTTTTAAAGAAGCACCATAACATTTTCCACAATGGTTATACCATTTTATAATCTCACCAGCAGTGTATGAGGGTTCCAGTCTCCCCACATCCATGCCAGCATTTGTTGTTTTCTGTTTTTCTGATGATTGCTATTATTGCTGGGGTGAGGTGATTATCTCATTGTTTTGATTTGCATTTCTCTAATAGGAGCTCTGGTAGCATAGTGCCTAAGGCACTTGACTGCTAACCAGAAGGCTAGTGGTTCAAACCCACCAGCCACTCCTCGGAAGGAAGGTTGGGCATTCCTACTTCCGTAGTGATACTGCCTTGGAAGCCCAAGGAGGGGTCGCTATGAGTCGGGGCCGACTCGATGGCAAATAACAACAACAACAACAATGGCTAATGACCACAAGCATCTTGTCATTTATTGGCTGCCTGAATGTCCTCTTTGGTGAAATGTCTGTTTATGTCTTTTGCCCATTTTTTAATTGGATAGTTTAACTTTTTTGTTCTTGAGTGAATAAAGAGTTTGAAAATTTTCTCTTAAACCTATAATACATAATAACTTCATTAAAATAGAAGTTGCCACATACAATTTAGAAAGGTTTACAATAAAGTAGATTATTTACTTTCTGTAGCAGAACTCTCATTATATACCAAGTACCTTCACCTTCCTTCTAAGAGAATCTATCTACCTTGTCTACTTTCAGTGACTTTGAGTGAACCAGAAAAAGGCATCCTTTCCCCCAACACTTTACTGCCATCTGCTGGAAATGTCATAATAACCTTACAATAACCATGACTAGTTGGGAGCTCTGGTAGCATAGTGCCTAAGGCACTTGACTGCTAACCAGAAGTCTGGCAGTTCAAACCCACCAGCCACTCCTTGGAAGGAAGGTTGGGCAATCTACTTCCTTAGTGATACTGCCTCAGAAACCCAAGGAGGGGTCGCTATGAGTCTGGTCCCACTCAAGGGCCCATAACAACAAGTAGCATAGTGCTTAAGGCATTTGACTACTAACCAGAAGACTGGCGGTTCAAACCCACCAGCCACTCCTTGGAAGGAAGGTTGGGCAATCTACTTCCGTAGTGATACTGCCTCGGAAACCCAAGGAGGGGTTGCTATGAGTCGGGTCTGACTCCACGACACATAACAAACAACAACATGCATGTGAATAAGGAGCTCTGGTGGTGTGGTTAAGGCTGCTAATCAAAAGGTCAGTGGTTTGAATGCACTAACTGCTCTGCTGAAGAAAGATGAGGAAGTCTGCTCCATAAAGATATATAGCCTTGGAAACCCAGTGGGGGTCGCTATGAGTCAGAATTGACTCAATGGCAGTGAGTTTGGTTTGATTTGGTTATGCAGTCCTATTCTTGCTTGTGATTGCTTTAGTGTTGTTAGGTGCTATGAGTTGGTTTTGACCCTATGTGCCACAGAGCAAAACATTGCCCAGTCCTGCACCATCCTCACAATTGTTGCCATGCCTGAGCCCATCATCGCAGCCACTGTGATGATGGATAGATATTTATCTATCTCATTGAGGGTCATTCCCTCTTTTGCTCATTCTCTACCAAACATGATATCCTATCCTTCTCCAGGTATTGATTCCTTCTGACCATGTGGCCAGAGTTTGAAAGAGGAAGTCTGGCCATTTTTGCTTCTGTTATGGCTGTATTGCCTCCAAGATAGATTTGTTCATTCTTCCAGTAATCAGAGGTCCAATCAATATTCTTCACCAACATCACAATTCAAATGCATCAATTCTTCTTCAGTCTTCCTTATTCGTTGTCCAGCTTTCGTGCGTAGGAAGCTATAGAAAATACTGTGGCTTGGGTCAGGTGCACCTTAATCTTCAGAGTGACATTTTTGCACTTAAACACCTTAAAGAGGTCTTTTGCAGCAGATTTGCCCAATGCAATACATCGTTTGATTTCTTGACTGCTGCTTCCATAAGTGCTGCTTGTGCATCCAAGTAAAATAAATTCTTGAAAACTTCAATCTTTTCTCCATTTATCATGATGTTGTTTATGAGTCCAAGGATTTTTTGTTTTAAAATGTTGAGGTGTAATCAATATTGAACAGGCTGTAGTCTTTGATCTCCATCAATAAATGCTTCAAGTCTTCTTCACTTTCACTAAGCAAGGTTGTGTCGTCTGCATACCTGCAGGTTGTTAATGAGTCTTACTCCAATCCTGATGCTTTAAATAGCTAGATAATTTAGTTCTAGCCAATGAGACTGAAGGGGAGGTCTGCTGGACGGTGTCTGGAAAGGTTTCTTCACTCATAAGAAAGAGACATAAAAAGAGAAGGTCCTTCTTTCTCTGAGTAATGTTATGTCTAAATATGATAGCTGAAACTATAATAGCCATTTTGTGGAGCCAGAGCCCTGATGTATCTACCATGCCAGAGCCTATCTAGCACACCTGGCTATGGACTTTATACTTGAGATAATAAACACATTTTCTTACTATTTCCATCATTTTGAATTAGTTTTCTGTAATTTGTAGCAGAAACATAACTAATAGTTTCCAATTGAATCCTTGAAGTTAAAATTTAAATTCTCTGTGTTTCTATCAGATATAAAAAAAATCCATGTACTTCTTGTGGTAAAGACCTCTGGCTGTTTCCCAGCATCCACCCCTGTTCCTTACATCGTTAATCTGGTACCTGATACCAGAAATAGAGATTATTCTCCCAGCCTCCTTGGCAGCTACTTGAGATCACTCAGTTAATTTCTACTCAGTGAGATGAAAGCGAGAATGTAATGTCGGGGACTTCCAGTAAGATGGAGATATACGCAGACAAGCGACACAGACCCTCCACAACAAAGAAAAGAGAAACCAATCAACAGAGATACAGAAGATAATCCTGGAACTCTGAGCTTTGAAAGGAACTATACAGAAGTAGATTAGGCACCAACTAATGGAAAACCTGAATGGAAACAGTATGGAGCCCGTCAGAGCTGCGGACTGTCAGCTACTCTGATGGGACCAACAGCCTGAATATTTCCACGTGGTGTTGGGACCTGAGAATTGACCTAAAGATCAGCCCTGGTCACCAAAAGGGATGACTGTGCCAAGTGGCCTAT